AAAAAAAAAAAAAAAAAAGATGCTTCCTTGCCTAGCATGGGGGCAGCAACAGTCCTTCTCTTTTCAGGTGCCCCGGTATCCCTGGGCCCCTGCCCACCCCTTTGGTGCAGCCCAAGGATTAGGGGGGCTTTCCCAGGTAGACAGCAAGGAAACAGATAGCTTACTTGGCACTGCCACAGTCAACCTCCGCCACCTTCATGGTGGGCAGTGTCTGTGAAGCCACGGGCTCGATGGTGAGTGTATTATCCTCTACAGCAGCCCGTACCAACGTGGAGAGCTGTAGCAGATCAGGGTGGCAGGTGGGGTGGTGAGGGGCTGGTCCCCAGTTGAGGGGTGGAGGGGCTAGGTCCCCCAGCTGGCCACCCTGTACCACGCATCACCTCTTGCATTGTGAAATCCAGGCAAGGTCCCACATCCTCCCGGTATACCCTTTCTAGGAAGGGACAGGTCTTGTCCAGGGTGGGTGATTCCCTCCAGGCCTGGAACTCTGCAAACAGGGTTGTGTCCACCTGTAGAGGAAGGTGAGCCAGGCTGGGGGCATTCAGGGCACTGAGTTGAAAGAGAGAAAAGCTAGGGAGATGGAGAGCAGATCTGTCCCCAGCACCTGTGTGGACAGGCTCCATGGGAGGGCTCCCTCCTGCCCTTTGCACCAAAGTGTTTGAAACTCAAAGTTCCATTCCCAAATGTGTTTTAAGTTTCTTGGTGCTACAGGGTTACAGACTCAGGTCCAGGGCCTCATCCTAAACAGCCTCACTGCCTCCTTGAGGAGGAAAAGGGAAAGAGTGTGCAGCTACAGGAAGCACACATGGGTACATGCACTTGGGAGGGGACACACAGGCGGCCAGGCTGCCCAGCTGATCCCCCCAGGAGACAGTCAATTGGTTAGTTGCTGGCCTGCCCTGGGCTATACCATGCAGAGTGAGGGAGGCTGGGAGGGGTAAGGGTGGTGGTCCCTTCTTGAAGCCATTACCTGTCGGGAAAAGGAGAGAGAGGGAGCAGAGGCGGGGGCCGAGGGTGGCTGCCCAGGCAGGAGCTGCCAGGCTGGCTCGTAGGTGAGATGGACCGCCTTGCTGGGGACCACGCAGAGAAGCAGAGAGAGCAGAGGGGCCAGCCCAGGCTGGGCGAGCAGGCCAGATAGACAGACAGACAAGTGCAAAAGACAGAAAAGAGGAAGAAGGAGAAGTCAGTGTCCAGTCGGAAGCTCAGAGCCCAGAAGGCGAATGAGGGCCTGTGCCTTCTCCCTGGAAGCTCCGGAGACAGAGATAGGGACCAGGACAGAGCTGGGTAGGCAGGCACCAGAGACCTCTCAAAAGGCCATACTTGTCTTGGCACCAAAGTCAGAAGGTACTGAGGACTCAAGTACAGGACGTCATACAGTGATCCTTAAGGCTGTGGCTACACAGGGCCCAGCTGGCCTCTCCTAGAGGCCCAGAGACCCCTGCCCAGACTCTTGAGAACAAGGGAGTATGTGTTTCTGCAGCAGCCCTCCAAGAGCATACCCTCAGGGCCAAAGCCAGCCTCAGGTACAGAGACCACAACCTACCGCTGGAGTCAGCAGGGTGGAGAGGGGGTTATCAGTGCTTTCCCAGACTACACCTGGGGGGCTAAGGGCCAAGAGCCTCATCCCCAGGAGGCTGAACAGAAAGAACCTGCACAGCACTCACAGCCCAGGGGACAATGAGGGACAGAGAGGGGCAGGGCAGGCCCAATCACACAGCAAGGTTCAGGTTGGTCCTCACTAGGCCCTGCCCCTGCTGATGGTGGCACTGTCTCCTCTTTCACTGGCTGCCTGCTGCCCTCACCTCTTTGCCCTCCCTGTCTGGGGTGAGGGTGTGCCCTGCAGCAGGGCACAGAGCAGGGCAGAGCGTGCTGCTTGTGCTCTTATGGCGTGAGTGGCCCTTTCGGGGCCCAGCCTTGGTGGGGCTCAGCAGCTGTGGGTGGAGTTCACGGTTGGGAGAGGCTGGTGTGGACGTGATGACCAGTGTCTTCAAGGCAGTCACCTCCGCCTGCAGCATGTCGATCTGAATGGGATGGGATGGCCGTCAACCTCAGGCTTGATGCCACCCTGGCGAATACTGCCTATCAGCCCAGCTCACAACAGCCTGCCCCTGGTAGTGACCAACACCTAACCCCACATGTCACCCTTGGTAGAACCTTTGAGGAGGGGACACCCAGACATCCATTTTACACAGGGAAATTGAGGCTCAAAGAGGAGACGTGGCCTTCCCAAGGTCACACTGAATAGGAGTGTCAGAAACAAGGGTCTGGGAGTTGGCTGGGCTTCCCATTGAGAGTCGCAGGGCTTCCAGGAACCAGTGATGGCTCACTCAAGCCTCATATTTTACAAGTGGGCAACCAGGCTCAGAGAGTGGAAGCTTTGCCCAGGTGCACACAGCCAGACTGGGTGAGGTTTCTGCTCTCTAAATGGGGGCTGGGAGGAGGAAGAAGAAACTGCAACAACCACAGGATCCTCGCAGCCCCTGGAAGGCCTCAGAAACTTCTCTGTGGCGCAGCAGAATCACCAGTGGAGTCCTGGTAGGCTGTGATCTCAGATACCACCCTGTCCTCCCCGAACCAGGGTTTGTCTATTCTTGCCAGCTTCACCAGCTGAGCAAGGGTCCAACTAGGTAGGGAAGGCCAGTGCTCACAAGGCCAGAGGCAAGGCCAGCCTGGGCAGGTGGGGATGGGCCTCACCTTGCCCCGAGCCTCCTTCAGCTGCTTCTCTGATGCTGCCTGCTTCATGTTGGCTTCTCGAACCATCTTGTGGGCTTCCTGGGAAGAGGGAAGCCCCTATGTGAGTGACTGGAATGGATGTCTGGGTAACCCACCCCTAGGCCACCTCTCTACCCACCGACCACAACCACTGGCTGGTGCACCTCAAACAGGCTGGCGGTCAGCTCCTCCAGCTCCTGCTCCAGCTGCTCCCGCACCTTGGACAGACGCTCACATTCCTCGTCCTTCAGCTTCAGCTCCTTGGGGCCAAGAGGCAGGGGCTATGAGCGCCTTGGGGGGGTGCCCAGGGCTGGCACAGGGAGACTAGGCCCACCTAACCAGGGTCCATCCCCCAGTCATCTTGCAGGGGCTCTGGGCCACAAGCTTGCTTCCTCTCTGGCCTGCCAGTCAGTGATGTCTTTTCTCTTCAGTCCATAGCATGAGGTGCGGCCCCACCTGCTAGTTCACGAGATTTGGAGTGGGTTTCAGGTTAAATCAAGACTTGTGGACATCAGGGTACCTCCCAGGTCCCCAGCCTGGGCCTGGCATGAAGTTGGCTTTGGTGAGTGCACAGTCTCAGTTCCTTTGGCACATCCTTGGGTATTCTTTTTTTTTTTTTTTTTTTTGAGACAGAGCCTCAAGCTGT